ACAAATAAGACTGTAATGTGGGGAGGGGTGCAGCTAGATCAAAGGATTAATGCGAAGGGTGTGAGAGATGAGGGTCACCCTCACATGGCACAACTCCAGGGAGCCCTTCTGCATACCATCATCTAAGTGCACAACCTAGACAGTTGTACACAACAGCCCTGAAGGAAGACAGAGTTGGAAAATAAGTTGGAGACATATTGTGGAGATCTTGAATTATAAAGTTATACAGAATCAGGATTTTGTCTGGTAGCCAGAGTTTTTGCTTAAAGAGGTAACTGTTCAAAATGTTGCTTTAAGATAAATACAGCCACAGACACACTAGGGGAGTTTAAAGAGGTTATTTAGTGAAATTATCTGGGTGTGAGTTTACCAGATCTCAATGAGCTGATATGGAGACATAGTCCTGCCTACCTTTGAAGAGCTCAGGATGGAGGGAGTTACATAATACAGAAAGGCAACAGTGAGTACACTGTGCGCTGGTCCTCAATCCTAGCTGATGACCAGCTAGACTAGGAACTTGCTAAGAACACATTCTCTGGCCCCATATCCCAGGGATTCTGATGTAGTAAGTCTGGGGTGGGACTCTGAATTTTTAATAAGCTCCTGGGTTGTCCTGTGGACTAGCCATGCTTCATTTCAGGGATGAGCTAAATCACAATGATACTCTTTTTGAAGAATGTAAGAAATTACAATCTTAATGAAGATGGAAAGCTAAAAGAGAAAGACAAATCTGACTAAAAAAGAAAAACAAAAAGTGCAGAAGAGGGCTGGCAGCACCTAGGGATTCCACTTTACTTTTCCCCTCTTTCTCTCTATAATTTGCTGAGGCCAGTCTGACAGGGTCGCAGGTAAAAGCACAATAATAGTAGAGACAAAATTATAATTGCTTGGATACATTTTCCTGTTTTCTCTACTTCACACCCTTAACTTACTGCCCTTAGTAGTTTTTTGTCACTTTTTTAATAACAGCATTTGTGTACAGAAAAGACTACATGTTATAGTTACTTGGATTTAAAGCTAGACTTAAAACCTTAAGTTCAATTTGTAAACAGTTTTCTTTAGAAACTCGTAAGTAAAATTAACTGATTTTAAAAAATTACTGTATGCTCATTTAAAGAATAATAAAAACTTATATTTGCCACCCAATTTAAAATATAAAACATGATAATATAAATTATACTTATCTTAATATATTCTCTTTTCTTGTTTAAGCTCTCAAAAAATTCTAGGATATCCTTATTAAGAATATGCTCTACCTCAAGAAGTTCTTAAATATCACAACACTCTTTTCGAACTTAGCAGTTTTATTACATCCTTAAATAGCCAAATGTAAACCCAATGACTCAAGAATGTATTTTTATTAAGTCACAAATTAATCTGCTGAGATTCTCCAGTATGTCAAAATACAGCAAACACTACAATTTAATCCAAACACACTTAAACTTCATTGATTTAAATACATCATGTGCTGCATATTGTTCTATGTACTTGACAAATATTATTTAATTTTCAAAAATGTATGAGGTGCCATTATTACCCCCATTCTGCAGATGAGGAAATTCAGGAAGAAAAAGAATAAGGAAAGTTCCCACAGTAACTTGACATGACTAATAAATAGTGGAGCCAAGCTTCAAGATCTATACCATGACCATCTGTACGTGTGATCATTATGCTGTGTTACTCCCTTACAGGTCTGATTTACTTAATGATTTCTACCTAAGTTTCACAGAATTGGAGATAGAGATTCCAAACCAGGACATACCACCTTTCTATGCACAGAAAGAGCATAGCTAGCAATTTCCCTCTTTAAACAGTTGCTATGTGAGGACCTCTAAATCCATGACCTCCAGAGGACTGATTTTACAATCTGAGTCCTCTATGTCCCATTACCTAATTCTGTTGTAACTTTTAACTTTATTATCTAAAAAGTGGGCAAATGAAATTCAATCATTTCCACCGCTCTTGGTAAGGACTGTCCTTTATATCTCATTTATATGTTTACTTCCTCTTGATATTAAATGTCTTCTCTTTTATGAGATAATGGTGATATAAAATAATGACCAGATTTAAAAATAAAAGTCCCCAAATGCTGTCAGCCTTATGATGGGCTGCCTATTTCCCCCTCACAACTTTACCAATAATGACTCTCAAAAATATCTGGTGGGGGGGGCCTCCCTGGTGGTGCAAGGGATTAAGCACCACACTATGAAGCAATCCGTAACCTCAGCAGCACGAGTTCAATCCCCAGGCGGCCAGGGAGCAACCCACATGGTGAGCACACCTCTCCTGTCTCACCCGCTGCTCCCCTCAGGAGTGTATTTCAGTCTGCCTGTCTCTGGTGAATACTCTCACCACCCCCCGCCCCCACATCTCTGGCCTGTACCCCAACTCTTGTATGCATAAATAAATAATTTAAAAAAAACAATCTGGGGTCCCAACCACTTTTCATCTAGGACTGTAAAAACACCACTAGTTTAGTACAGTCTGTCTAAAAATATCCCAAAATAAAGAATCTGCTGCTTAGCTCATTCTACTCTTGGACAATAATCCTCGAGGGATAATTTATTCTCTTCCTTGAGTTGAGCTGAGTTCACCTTTGGCCCCAGACCTTTTTATCAGGGCTTCCATGCATTGGTTTTAATTTTAGCCCTTGAACATCCCTCAAAAAGGCTGGGTAATATAGAAAAACACAGGTTTGTAGGCATCAGACAACTACTGAGGTAGCCAAGGAGCTAATTCCTGGAGAGAATGTGTGATGATCAGTTTTAATTGTCCACTTGGCTAGGCCACACACCAGCCAATCAAATACTGACCTAGGTGTAGGTGTGAAGGTAGGTGGTAAACATAATTAATCTATAATTACTTTATTTATTTTTTGTGGGACCCTCGCCGGTGGCCAGGATTCAAACTGGCGCTGCAGAGGCTGCGGGCAGCCTTGCAACCCAGCGCTCATCCGCTGCGCCACCAGGGGAGGCCCTGTCTATAATCACTTTAAAAAAGGAAGATTATCCTGGATTATCTGGGTGGACCTGATCCAAAAAAATGGAAAGGTTTTAATAACAGAACTTAAGTTTCTCTGAGGAAGAAATTCCATGTTGGATGACAACTTCACCTCCTGCCCAGAGTTCAGCCTACCCTTCATGACAGCCCAGTGCCGTCCCCCACAACTCTATTAGTCAATAACTATCTTAATAAAGGTAAGTGTTTATGCATAGAGAGATGATACTCACTACATCTTTCTGACAGATACACACAGAACTATAATCCATAATCAAGACCTTTCTAAGGCCTCCCTGGTGGTGCAGGGGTTAAAGACACAGTGCTGTCAAGCTATGGGCAGCCACTGCATGTTAAGTTCGATCCCCGGCCAGGGAGGTGACCCACATATGGAGCAGCAGACCCCTCCTGTTTTGCTCACTGCTCCCCTCAGCAGTGCATTTCAATAGTTCTGCTCCCCACTGTCTCTGGTGAATCCTTTCAGCTCCCTGTACCCTGGCCTACATCCCTGTTCTTATATGCATAAATAAATCTTTTAAAAACCCAAAAACAAACCTTTCTAGAAGGAAAACACTAAACCAAGTGGCTTGATTAGCACCTTCTTCCAGACCTTTAGGGGAGAAATGGCATCAATCTTACATAAAGCTTCCAGAACAGAAAAAAGGGGAGGGTTTCTCTATTTTCTGAGGTCAGCATAACACTGACACAAAACTCGACCTGGACATTACAACAATGCCCTTTCTCTCATGAGCATAAGCACAATAATCCTAAACAAAGTTTAAAAAATTCAAATCCAGACAGATAAAACATTACAATAAAGGTTGGCTTAATATTCTGAAATCAATAAAAATAACTCACCATGGTAAAAGACAAATGTTTTAGGATAGTAACTAAATAGCGTCAAACAGTATTGATAAAGTTGGTTTTAAAAAAGGCAGTTTGAAACAATATATGTGCAGAAAAATGACTGAAAATATTGATAATTACCTTAATTGTAAGATTGTGAATTTTAAAATTATTGCTTTGTTAAATATTTAAAAATCTCTAAAATGTTACTATTTTTGAAATGAGGGAAAGGAAGATGTCTCACAACAGAGAACTCTTCAATAAAATGTTGAATTTTTTTTCTTTAAAGTTTGGATCCGTTTAAGAGAAAATTGCAAAAGTTTATATAAAATGACATTGGTACATAAGAGATTTGGACATTTTTCCATCTAGATAAGAGAAGAAATATGCTTACCAGCAGAATTAGGAATTCAGGTTAAACACAGAGCTTCTCCAGTGGGTTATTCAGCAGAATGGTGGGCTAACTTGATAGCTCTAAGTCCAAAGCAGTGACAACGCAAAGGCATGATTTCTTAGGGTGGTCAACAAACTGTTAAGAACTAAACTATGCTCCCCTCAAAATTCGTAAGTTAAAATTCTAACCCTTAAATCCTTGGAATGTGACTGTATTTGGAAATAGAGACTTTAAAGAGGTAATTAAGGTTACGTGAAGTTATTAAAGACAGGTCCTAATCCAATATGACTGGTGTCCTTTAAAGAAAAAAGAGATGTGGGCACCAAAGGAAGACCACATGAAGACACAGGGAGGAGAGAGTAGCCATGTACCAGGCAAAAAGGAAGGCCCCAGAAGAAACCAACCTGCTGATACCTTAGACTGCCCACCTCCAGAATGGAGGGCAAGTTCTTTCTCCTGTTTTTGCCACAGTCTCCGGTACTTTGTTTATGGCAGGCCTGGCCAACTAATACATAGCTACAACTGCAAAAATTAAATTTTACCCTCTCCCACCAAAAAAGAGATTTAAGACAAACACAGAGTCATGTGGTTTATTGTATTAGACTGTAATCTTCATCTAGAGGTGTAAATCACTGGTTGTTTTTGCTCTAAGGAAGTTAAACTTTAATAATCCTTCAACAATAGTTTATTGTAACTTTCTGCTATAGTTTCAATAAGTATTTTTACATTTGTGTAGCATGCAAATTTCATTCACATTTGTTACCTAATCTGATCTTTACAACCTTCTGTAGGTGACAGAAATAGGATCACAGTGACAGAGACAATTAGAACCAAATCCTCTAGTCCAGGCCACAGATCTTTTCAGTGTACACTGATGCTTTTCAAAATTTTATTGAGTCTCCCCCTGTTTTGTTAAAGACAGAAATAGTTTATTATACTTATCATTATACTTATCACACACTTTAATTATTTCAATAATAATTATTTCAACAATACTATTTCTAAAGAAAATAGTATCTTGAAATAAACTAAATCACATTATTTTTTAAAAATTAACATTCCACATTTCCTGAGAGCTTATAACATGTCAGGTACAGTTCTAAGCACTTTACATGAATTAACTCAGTCCTCATAACCCTCTGAGGTAGGTACTAACTATCCTAATCTCTATTTGGGAGGCAAAGAAACTAATGAGTACCTCATCAAGCTAGTAAATGAAGGAGCCAGGATTTGAGTGCAACAAAGACAGGTTTCAGAGCCCACATTTCCACCCAATGAAGCATAAGGAGGGCACATGTGAACATAAATCTTAATGGCTTTGGGATACAGGTGGAGTTAAATTTGAACAGTGGCTCTGCCACTTACTATAACATTGGGCAAACTTAAAGTTTTTTTGGTCTTAAATTCCTCAGCTATAAAGTGAGCTTTTTTTTTAATTTATTTTTTTATTTTTATTTTTTATTTTTTAATTTATTTCTACAAGCACTGGGTACAGTCAGAAGTGCGGGAGGGTGAGAGAATTCACCAGAGCCAGAGCGGGGAGCAGAGCAGGCAGAAGGACCGAAGTACACTGCTGAGGGAGCAGCGGGCGGCAGGAGAGGTCTGTGTGCCATGTGGGACCCTCGCCCCGCGGCCGGGTTGGAACTGGCGCTGCAGAGGCTGAGGGCAGTTTCGCAGCCCAGCGCTCAATCACTGAGCCACCGGGGAGGCCCTATAAAATGAGCTATTTACATGAGAAAATGGATGTTACACAGTGTCTGGTACATAATAATGTTTACTAGTTACTAAGTCCTACCATTTTTTAATTCTTTCATGCATATACAAAACTATTCAACAATATCTAATTTGGGGTCTCCGAGCAAAAGTATAAGGATCTCTTCCTTCATCCACAGCTTTTCTTCCCACTGTTCCAGAAAAGCACATACTATTCCAATAATCTCATTTCCCTTAAGAACACAGAAACACATTGAATGAGACGAGTAGTTCCATAGGCTCAAATTCTCTCTCCCACAGAAATACCTAATAACTTTGGTGAGTAAGCCCAAAGATTCTGGACATTGCTCTAACATATAACAGAAATTTACCAATACACTTAACTTTTATTCAATCTTTTTTTAAATAGTGCATAACTTCTCTTGAGATTATAGCATAACTATTTGCTCTTATTTATTATTTTATTACTTATTTCAAAGTTCAGAGTTTCTTTTTTTTAGCAGTCTTTCTTTTAGCACTAATTTAGTACTCTTCATGATTTATATGGTTAGATCACATTTTTCTTCAATCTCCATTTTTTCCAGATATTACTGCTCCTGTAGTCATATGCAATTCTCTCTGTTTTCTTCACCTACTTATAACAATTTCTCTGGACCGTTTCTATTTTTGAATCATTTTTCTTGAGTTGATTTTATGAGAAGAACACTGGGCTAAGAGCCAGAAGTGCTCACTCTGCCATCTCATCCTCTCAAAGACCAGAGGATTGCACCAGATAAATTTGTAATAGATTCCCGTATATTTCTAAGCCTCATATTTCCATGACTCTGGGCCTTCCAACCAGAAATCATTGAGTATATTGGCGCGCAGACCTCTCCTGCCGCCCGCTGCTCCCCTCAGCAGTGTACTTCAGTCCTTCTGCCTGATCTGCTCCCCGCTCTGGCTCTGGTGAATTCTCTCACCCTCCCGCGCTTCTGACTGTACCCAGTGCTTGTATAAATAAATAAAAATAAATCTTTAAAAAATAAAAAAAAAAAAAAAAAAAAAAAAAAAAGAAATCATTGAGTATTCTAACAATTTCCCTAAACTTTTCACTTTAGTTAACCAGGGAGGAGCAGGCATGTTCAGAAAGGGGCCCAGAAGAAAATACAGTAATCAGGAAGCCCAGGGCCAAGAAGGAAAGACGATATTTGGGACCCAACAGAAAAATATCAATTAATAAGAGAAATCAGACACCAAAAAGATGCCAAAGTCAGAAGAAAAGTCAGAACACACTACCTCTAATCTCCTCCCTACACATCTATTTGAAGAGGGACTAGCAGGAAAAGCTTTGGCAGCACTGGTTAGTCACCTCTCATTTCTGCCTGAAAAGGAGCAAAGCAACTCTGTGCCATCTTTGCAGCGCTGTTGCTAAAATGGCTTAATACAAACCTTCAAGCAAAATAGGCATCACCGGGGAATCTGATGACTGAATTAATGTTCAGCTGAATTGAAATCCCTCGGAAATGCTACTGGTACTGCTATATTCCAGGGAATCTGAGAGGTTAAGGCCATAGGATTTACATGCATTGGCTGGACTGGTTCTCAGGGAAAGCAGACTGGGTTCATTTGGGAGTGGGGAGATTTGGCCTAATGGCATTGCTTAAGCTCTGACAAACTGGAAGAAGCCCCAGGAGGAAAAAGGACAAGTTAATCAGCACAGGCTAGCTCATATTAGAATGTGCAGGAAAGCCATTTCCTATCCTGGTGTCAGAGTCCAAGAAAGCACTATCTTTCCTGAAGTGTCCTTCTAGAGTGTCAGAGCTTCTTGGCTCATGACTGGTTGGGGGCAGGGGAGAGTAAACCAACAAGGGGATAAAGGAGCCTGGCAGTTCCAAAAATTCTGAAGTGGTATTTCTAAGACCAAGGGAGGGGGTGTCTGCTTAAAATACAGACTCTGACCCATCAGAGATCTCCAGAATCACATTTCTGGGAGAGGTACTGGCATTTTTATGGAGCAAACATTTATTTGAGAACTACTGCCTCAAAATTTGATGGGGTGGTGGTGGTGAGTTGTGGATGAAGTTTTTTGATTCTGAATCGATCACATCCAATTATTTCTGTAACTCTATTTTGAGGATCATTGAAAAACTATTGTATTGCAATTCTGAAAAATGCTAAAAAAAAAAACCTAAATGGACACGTTAAGATGGTCATTTTGCAATATACAGTAAGCCCTAATTGAACCTGGTGGATAAGTTCTGGGAAAGAGCAGCTTGAAGCAAAAGACCCATATACCCAATGCGGGTCCTCATGACGTTGTGGGCAGGATTGTTTTTTTCTCAACTTACAGCGAAGGCTTTGCATGAAATGTTATTCCAGGCCCTGCCGTACACAAATGTCAAATCACTATGTCCTACAAGTGAAACTAATATAATGTATGTCAGTAATACGTAAAAACAACACAGGTAACAGGTGCAGCTAGCTGTTAAGCACCGAACAGAGGCAGAATGAAAGAGCCTGGAAATTGTATTTTCGCTAATTGGTAACAAAACAGATCCTCTATAGCCCTGTTCATCCGGTTAGTCTGCTCACTGTTTTTTTTTTTGTTTAAAAAATAAATTGGTTCAACTCAGGCGTCTTCACAAACTGCACGACAGAAGAGGATTTCTGATAGGGCAGCACTAGGTTTGCAAGCCCGAAGACACTACTATAAAAAGTGAGGTTTTATTTAAAAGAAGATTACCGGTTAAGCCTCTCCCCAGCTCTTCTGCACCCAGAGCCACTGAGGAAAGCTGGTAATTTGTGGGTGGCAGAGACGGGAGCCTGTGAAGCAGGGGTGAAGAGAGCGAGCAAAAGGCACTCTCCGCTCCAGAAAGAAAGACTTCAGGAAGAAGTCGGGCTGACTACTTAATTTTTAATAAAGTCTGTCAATTGCCAGAAAAACGCGCATCTGCAAATGTCTTGTCAGTAAACACTGCGGAGCTCTGCCCGCCCCGCCGCCGGCGGGTAAGAACGCGAAGGCCCGCAGGAAACGGCCAAGTTCCCTGAGGCCCCCGCCGGCGTGTTTACGAACCCCACATTAGGGGACCCCGAGCCCCCTCGTCAGACTTCCCCTCGGCGCGGAAACGACACCCGGATCCCACTTGCCGACCTTCTTCCTCGCGGTGAGGGGAGCCCCGCGGCCTTTCAATGGGGGGTTCGACCCGCCCGGGCAGCGGCCGAGGCGACGCCCCCCCAACACAAAGGCAAATTTCCGGCCCGCGCCCGCCGCACACTCGCCCTGCCGGGGCCCCGCCCGAACCCGGCCCGCGCCGCCACTCACCTGCGGCGCCCCCGCGCTCCGGCGCTCCGGCCCCTGCTCGCCCGGAGGCGCGCGCGCTCCGCGCCCCGAGAAGCCGCCGCGGGGACCGCCGGCCCTGCCGCAGCGGCGCGCGCCCCCACCACGGCCGGCGCGGCCGCGGCTGAGTCACCCGGTGCTTCAAGTTAAGAGTCCCCTGCGCGCGCGGGCACGCCGCGGGAAGGCCGGCCTCCCGGCCCGCAGCCCAGGGCCGCGGGCGAGGGGCGTCCCCGGCCTTCCCGACACGCCCCGCCCGTCCCGGGGAGGCTGTGCGCGCGCCCGCCCCGCCGGGGAGGGCTCCATTTCCGAGGCGCCTGGGCGCTCGCGCTTGTTAGAGGTGGAAAGTGGAAAAGTTGTTAGGTACCTGAGTTCTAAAAGAAGCTCGCACAGTTCGTGCCCGTAAACTGTGGCGTCCCTAGCCTTACTTTGGGGGTGGGGGGCTGGGGGGGCGGGACGAGTTGTGAGAATAATGGAGTTTCTCAAACAGGTTTTTGTTTGGAAGCCCCTATCCAGGATGCGCCTTGCATCAAAATAAGGTGGGCAAACCCACACGTTCCTCAGCAGCCTTGAGTTTACTGAAACTACACGCCATCGCCAACAAAGTTGAATCACAGATTTTAAAGCCACCAGAAGCAAGTGATTGGAAAGCTGTATTGCGAGAAAGATATTTCAATACTCAAAAAACAAGCCATGTTCAACAAACCGAATGCTGGCAAACAACAAAAAAGAATACTAACAGTCCTTGCCGTCATGATTTCTGGTGGCTTTTGTACTTTTAAAAGTTAGGCTAATTGAATAAGAAGTTATCCTTATCGTGCAAATGGTTCTATTTTAATGTTGCAAATCGTATAATAGCA